GCACACCTAAGATGTTTTTTAAGATAAAAAGGAGATGGGTGAACTTAGCGTGGAGAAAGCCCAATAGCTTCAAATATATAAAAATCATATTCAAATTTTGAATTTAGTATTTAGAGTAAAGATCTCATCATTGATTTTTATGAAATCATGAGAAACAACAAGTTTGAGGAAATTTTTTCGCTAAAATTTATTCTTTTATATAAAAAAAAAAAATAATGTGGTATCCATTGGGTTCGAACCCTGGCAATAAAAATACTGATTTGCATTCGATGTCGAGACTAGCACGCTTAACCACTTCGCTACACAAGTCCTGATGAAGTGTGGCATTTAAATCATGTTTGTGATATGACCATTGACTTAGGGACTTCAAGTATTTCTCGAAAAGATACGAAAGTTATGTCATAAAATTATATTTTTAAGGTATAGTGGGTCTTTGCTCCATAATTTTGAAAACCAAAATATGTATGTTTTTATGCAAACTTTGAGGATTACCTTTCAAAAAAAATGGAGAGAAGACCCACTCATAACGAAAAATAGTGTTATAGTGTGAAAAAATGACTCGTTTTGTCCTCTTTCGTGTGTGTATAATATTACATAGGCAAATTACTTCAATCTTCATGAGATTTATGCAAGTTGTAGAGATTTTACATAAACACGCCTGCTAATCGATCACTTGCACAACCAGCAGTTGTGTATAACAATCAAAAGAGATCGATTTCCGGTTGTGCAGTTGATGCGAATAATTCCAGTGCACAGGTAGTAAATGGACTCGATTCAGGCAATAATTGATATTTTTATTAAAATATAAGAATGTGATTCCATGAGCAATTTATTTTTCTTTAATTTTACACTCTCATAAAATGCAGTGATTGTCGATTAGCGACTATATTTGTTTTGAAGCAAGGGCTGGTAGAGCGAAAACGCTGATTGAAAACAGTATTCGCCGATTAAAATTCGTTTTAATCTCAACTAACCTTGAAAATTCAATGTCCACCATGAGTATGCTACAAGTGCATCCTATCCACCCAAACTGGGACTTCGATATGTGTATAATTTGACAAATATTCGAAGAAAAAAACATTGCTTATGCATGCGATCATTCAGTTGTGAAAGAGATCTCGGGTTATGCATGAGATGAAGGACTAAAAGTTTCAATCTTTACGAATAAAATTAAACATTATATAATTAAAACGTAGTCTTGCAAAATTTAAAACATAAAATTATAGAATTTTCTTGCAAATAAGTTGAATTTGTGAGAAAAAAAGATATATAAGATAAGTAAACTGTTGAAATAGATCTGTTAGGGGAGGGGGTTAAAGTTTCACTTACAATCAATATAATTACAGTAAAAAAAATTATGTGTGTATTATTTAAATCATAAATCTTGTGTGAATTATCCAATGCATCTTTAATATGACTATTCCGTATGCAAAAAAAAAAATAATAATAATAAAAGAGATAAAATAAAATAAATTTAAAAAAAAAAAAAACAGCATATACTGGGCAGTATATATCATTTTCTTTCAGTACGAAATTGTTCAACTCAGACATACCTTACCTTTATTTGACGGTACTGCAACAAAAGTTAAGGGAAAGACCGAAGTTTTCATGCTTTCATTTCATATATATTTTATAGTAAAAGTGCTGTCTCTGAAAAAAATAAGAGGCAGGCTCTCGATGATATGTGTTTGCCAAGGGGTAAGTATTTCCTGGTGTTTTGAAGCTAGGTATCCTGAATTTTGTTATCGAGATATCGATGGAAAGGATCAAGATGACAACACCACATTACAGGTGCTTCTGGAGAGGCCCCCCCCCCTTATTCAACCCCCGGACTTGTTGGACACTTTTTTTCCTCACAAATTATATTTATTACATTTATTCATCATGTATACCATAGGGGAAAAATCGTCAAAAATCCAAAATAATCGTTCAATAAAAAATATCCCTATTAAACATTCCAAATAAAATTAATGCAAAGCATCAAATCAGCCGCAAAGTTTATAATTTCAAAAATTACTAGTACTTTCTTAATTTCAAAAGCATCAATGCATGGGAAGCACAAAATATTCAAAGCTGAAATAGATCAATTTCATTTCAGACTGTCTTCAAAGCAAAAATAAATAAAATGGTTTTTTTTAATTAAATAGAAATTTTAGTGCATTTGTTCATCAAATGGAGTCATCAATGAATCAATAAAAAAGTCAATGATGAATTATAAGAATGTATGAATGAAGATGTAGGTCTCTCAAGATGAACCACATGCCGAAACCCTGGATCTTTGTCACGTGATAATACCCATGGTTTCTGCAGCAGTAGGCTAATCAAGGCGCGTAGTTTGATGGAAAAAATGTAAGAAAAATCTTTGTTGTCGCATCTGTAGCACATTCAAAACAATTTTTACTACAGTGTTGTTGAAAAACTTTTTCAATTTTTATTCACCTTGCAACTTTTACCACTTCATTATTATCTGGAAAATCATGACGATTTCCTTTCATATCTTGATTACTCCCTGGTTGGGGAGTACCTATTGTAAACTCTTTCTATATAACCATATATTATTAATTACCCAATTAGAAATGACAATGAAATTGAAACAACAACAATAACTGCTCAGTTTAAAGAAAGTTTTCAAAATTAAGATTAGTTTACAGAACTAATGAAAAATAACGACTCATTTCCCGATATAAGAGATCGGCCGCTGCTGCTGAAAAAGCCAAAATGTGCTTGCAAAAATGACTGTACATCATTGGCGGATCTAGAAGGTGGTTCCTGGGGTTGGACCCCCTATTTGATTAGAGAGAGAGTTATGTAACATGGATATTTTATTACGTCTAATATTTTGAATAAAATAAATACTTTGAATAAAAATTTTTTTTCGAATAAAATAAATACACTGTACATGTCGTTCAATCTCTGTCCTTTCTGATCGCTATAAATAGAGTTCCCTCGTTTAATATGCTTTCCTCGGAGTACTGTCACATGCAATCCCAGCCCTGCTTGCTTGTTTGTGTTTTTGTTTTATTTGTTTGTTTGTTTGTTTTTGGCTTGTCAAAGTCCTCCATAGAACTGTTGAAACTGTTGAAAACTCAGTGTTGCCAGGTTTGAAGTGCCTACATGTATATGCATGAGTGTTGGACATCTGGACACCCCCCCCCCTTTTTTTTCCAAAATTGCTGGATCTGCCCCTGCAACGTCTTTATATTATAGACAATATTTAACATTTTATAATTACCAAAAATAAAATAGTATAAGAGGTGAATTATGGAGATTGTATAATACTTGCGTAACTTTTTATCCTTTATCTCATGCATAACCCGAGATCTCTTTCACAACTGAATGATCGCATGCATAAGCAATGTTTTTTTCTTCGAATATTTGTCAAATTATACACATATCGAAGTCCCAGTTTTGGTGGATAGGATGCACTTGTTGCATACTCATGGTGGACATCGAATTTTCAAGGTTAGTTGAGATTAAAACGAATTTTAGTCGGCGAATACTGTTTTCAATCAGCGTTTTCGCTCTACCAGCCCTTGCTTCAAAACAAATATAGTCGCTAATCGACAATCACTGCATTTTATGAGAGTGTAAAATTAAAGAAAAATAAAATGCTCATGGAATCACATTCTTATATTTTTATTAATAAAATAATCAATAATTGTCTGAATCGGGTCCATTTACTAACTGTGAACTGGAATTATTCGCATCAAATGCACAACCGGAAATCGATCTCTTTTGATTGTTATACACAACTGCTGGTTGTGCAAGTGATCGATTAGCAGGCGTGATAAAGTATACTTTAATGTTAGATGAAATATTAAGGACAATTTAATGGGTGACTCTGCCTCAACCTGATTCTGCATGTTTGACTTTAAAGAATTCCAAAATTTTTTGGTACATTTTGGGTTCAGTTCATTAATAGTGTTAGCTACAGTTTTATAGAAACCAGATTTCAATTGCTTACACATTTTATGGAATTGTTTTTTAGCTTGTGAAAATGCTTGAAGTAAATAATAATTATTTGGTGATTTTTGAAGTTTTCAGCAAAGATCATCAGCAAAAAATAAGCTGATTATTTTTAAAATAGTGTCATGATCACGTCACCAGGTTGACATTACCTTGGTAAATTCAAATACCAACAAAAGAAAACATGTTATATAAAAAACAAAAAATGTACACTACTCAGTACTGTACTTAAAGTTTTAGATTGCAGATCTAGCAGATCAAAGATCTAATTTTAATTAAATTGAAATGTATGTCTTATCAATTGTCATCAGCTTCACGTTGGGATACTGGAATTTTGCAAAATCTCTCTGTGATATACTTTTACTGTATAGATCTATACTGGGTATGTATCAAATACCCTTTGTAAACTCTGATAGCCAATAAATAACAAGATGTGTTTGTGAAACACTGATGCTCCCTGATGGCAGCTATCAGGTAAGGGTTGAAGTTTCTCAATTGCAAGTCAAACTCCAAGGTCAATTTTTAGTCAAAATTGTTGATCTTGTCACAAGGAATACACTTGTGATATGTGAGAACTCTAGTACTAACGATTCAAGTTATGGCCAAGGTTAAAGTTTTTTAAAAGTGGGTCAAACTCTAAGGTCAAATATTATTAAACCCATTAAAAGGTCTTGTCACAGCAAATACACATGTGAAATATGAGAGCACTAGCACCAACTAATGAAAAGTTATGACCAAGCTTAAAGCTTAGAATTTTTTGGTAAAAGTGGGGTCAAACTCCAAGGTCAAGGTAACGAGGTCAAATTTGTTGGTACCTGAAGAAAGGTCTTATTATATGAAATATGAAAGCCAAAGCCCCATCCACTTAAAAGTTAAGGGCAAGGTTAAAGTTTTTGCAGACAAATAGACAGACAGGACTAAATTAAACTATATATACTGGTACCCACAAATTGATTCCAGGGGCATAAAAAGTGTACTGTTACATAAAATATACAGACTTTAATGCAATTAAATTCACAACACTATAATCCAGATGAAATGGAATACACTTTATTGAGACATATAAGAAGTGATATTTTGGATGCTATATCCCTTGGTAGTGAAACCCATACATGTAATTACAAATTTACAGAAACAAAAATAATAACACAGACCAATTTTGTATGAATTATGTGTTCAAATGTACACAGGTATATGGCAATTAATCTATGGCACCATATTCAATATAACAGCTACTTTTAATCTTGTATCAATTATTTTCATCAAGCAATGTTAGGTAAGTAAATCTGGGCCCCTGATCCTGGCTGTGTGGCAAATAAAGATTTTCCAACCATTGACGCTTTTGATGGATTTTTGTCATAGAAGTTTTTCTTGACTTTGACCAAAAAGTCCATCACATGATTGGTTGGAACCATGGAAACTGCACAGCCTCCCCAGCCTGCTCCTGTCAGTCGAGATCCTAGAGCACCAGCCTCCCTGTAAATAAAAAAATAACCATGTAGTCCAAATCCTAGAGCACCAGCTTCCCTATAAAAGAAAATAACAATGTCAGTCCAAATCCTAGAGCACCAGCTTCCCTATAAAAGAAAATAACAATGTCAGTCCAAATCCTAGAGCAAATGCCTCCCTGTAAAAGATAATAACAATGTCATTCCAGATACTAGAGCACACGCCCCTGTAAAAGATAATAACAATGTCAGTCCAGATACTAGAGCACCCGCCCCTGTAAAAGATAATAATAATGTCAGTCCAGATACTAGAGCACCCGCCCCTGTAAAAGATAATAATAATGTCAGTCCAGATACTAGAGCACCCGCCCCTGTAAAAGATAATAACAATGTCAGTCCAGATACTAGAGCACCCGCCCCTGTAAAAGATAATAACAATGTCAGTCCAGATACTAGAGAACCCGCCCCTGTAAAAGATAATAACAATGTCAGTCCAGATACTAGAGCACACGCCCCTGTAAAAGATAATAATAATGTCATTCCAGATACTAGAGAACCCGCCCCTGTAAAAGATAATAATAATGTCAGTCCAGATACTAGAGCACCCGCCCCTGTAAAAGATAATAACAATGTCAGTCCAGATACTAGAGCACCCGCCCCGGTAAAAGATAATAACAATGTCAGTCCAGATACTAGAGCACCCGCCCCTGTAAAAGATAATAATAATGTCAGTCCAGATACTAGAGAACCCGCCCCTGTAAAAGATAATAACAATGTCAGTCCAGATACTAGAGCACCCGCCCCTGTAAAAGATAATAACAATGTCATTCCAGATACTAGAGCACACGCCCCTGTAAAAGATAATAACAATGTCAGTCCAGATACTAGAGCACCCGCCCCTGTAAAAGATAATAATAATGTCAGTCCAGATACTAGAGCACCCGCCCCTGTAAAAGATAATAATAATGTCAGTCCAGATACTAGAGCACCCGCCCCTGTAAAAGATAATAACAATGTCAGTCCAGATACTAGAGCACCCGCCCCTGTAAAAGATAATAACAATGTCAGTCCAGATACTAGAGAACCCGCCCCTGTAAAAGATAATAACAATGTCAGTCCAGATACTAGAGCACACGCCCCTGTAAAAGATAATAATAATGTCATTCCAGATACTAGAGAACCCGCCCCTGTAAAAGATAATAATAATGTCAGTCCAGATACTAGAGCACCCGCCCCTGTAAAAGATAATAACAATGTCAGTCCAGATACTAGAGCACCCGCCCCTGTAAAAGATAATAACAATGTCAGTCCAGATACTAGAGCACCCACCCCTGTAAAAGATAATAATAATGTCAGTCCAGATACTAGAGAACCCGCCCCTGTAAAAGATAATAACAATGTCAGTCCAGATACTAGAGCACCCGCCCCTGTAAAAGATAATAACAATGTCATTCCAGATACTAGAGCACCCGCCCCTGTAAAAGATAATAACAATGTCAGTCAAAGTCCTAAAGCAAATGCCTCACGGTAAAAGATAATAACAATGTCATTCCAGATACTAGAGCACCCGCCCCTGTAAAAGAAAATAACAATGTCAGTCTAGATCCTAGAGCTCCAGCCTCCCTGTAAAAGATAATTACAATGTCAGTCTAGATCCTAGACCACTGTAAAAGATAATAACAATGTCAGTCCAGATCCTAGAGCAAATGCCTCCCTGTAAAAGAAAATAACAATGTCAGTCCAGATCCTAGAGAACTATCCTCCCTGTAAAAGATAATGAAAGAAAAAGTGAGCAAGCTCACATACCCCACGCTCCCCCAAAACTCAAGTGCTGAAAATCCCAGAAAAAATGAAAGAATCGGAATTTCCCGGTAATATGCACATCTACAAATTGTGTCCTAAATATCTGCAAAGTTTGATGGAATTCTGTGCAGCGGTTTATGAGGAGTTGCACTGACAAACTGTTAATCACTATATTCAAGATATCCCCAAAAATCTAAGTTGTAAAGTGCCAAATTCCCAGAAAAATAAAGAATTCGGAATTTCCTGGTAAAATGCACATCTATACATTGTGTCCTAAATATCTGCAAAGTCTGACGAAATTCTGTGCATTGGTTTATGAGGGGTCGCGCTGACAAAATGTTCATCTGTATATTCAAGGTATGGCCGAAAATCTAATTTGAAAAGTGCCAAAATTCCCAGAAAAATAAAGGAATCGGAATTTCTGGTAATATGCACATCTACACACTGTGTCCTAAATATCTCCAAAGTTTGACGAAAATCTGTGCAGCGGTTTATGAGGAGTTGCGCTGACAAAATGTTCATCTTTATATTCAAGGTATGGCCGAAAATCTAAGTTGAAAAGTGTGGAAATTCTAGGAAAAAATGAAGTTATCGGAATTTCCCGGTAATATGCACATCTACAAATTGTGTCCTAAATATCTGCAAAGTTTGATGGAATTCTGTGCAGCGGTTTATGAGGAGTTGCGCTGACAATCTGTTAATCACTATATTCAAGATATCCCCAAAAATCTAAGTTGTAATGTGCCAAATTCCCAGAAAAATAAAGAATTCGGAATTTCCTGGTAAAATGCACATCTATACATTGTGTCCTAAATATCTGCAAAGTCTGACAAAATTCTGTGCAGCGGTTTATGAGGGGTCGCGCTGACAAAATGTTCATCTCTATATTCAAGGTATGGCCAAAAATCTAATTTGAAAAGTGCCAAAATTCCCAGAAAAATAAAGCCATCGGAATTTCTGGTAATATGCACATCTACACACTGTGTCCTAAATATCTCCAAAGTTTGACGAAAATCTGTGCAGCGGTTTATGAGGAGTTGCACTGACAAAATGTTCATCTTTATATTCAAGGTATGGCCAAAAACCTAAGTTTTTAGTGTGGAAATTCCAAGAAAAAATAAATGAATCGGAATTTCCTGGTAATATGCACATTTACGACTACATATTGTGTCCTTAATATCTGCAAAGTTTGACGAAATTCTTTGCAGTGGTTTATGAGTTTCGCTGACAAACTGTTCATCTCTATATAAAAGGTATGGCCAAAAACCGAAGTTTTTAGTGCGGAAATTCCTGGAAAAAATAAATGAATCGAAATTTCCTGGTAATATGCACATCTACATATTGTGTCCTTAATATCTGCAGTCTGATGAAATTCTGTGCAGCAGTTTATGAGGAGTTGCACTGACAAACTGTTCATCTCTATATTCAAGGTATGGCCAAATGCCTAAGTTAAAAAGTGCGGAAATCCCCGGAAAAAATAACGGAATCGGAATTTCCTGGTAATATGCACATCTACACATTGTGTCCTCAATACCTGCAAAGTTTGACGAAATTCTGTGCAGTAGTTTATGAGGAGTTGCGCTGACAAAAAAAAACAGGACTGACTGACTGACTGACTGACACTCTGACTGACACTCTGATGGACGGGTCGAAAACATTATACCTCACGCAACTAGTTGCGTGGGGTATAATAACAATGTCGGTCCAGATCCTAGAGCACCTGCTCCCTGTAAAAGGTAATAACAATGTCAAGTCTAGATTCTAGAGAGAACTATTCTCCCTGTAAAAGATAATAACAATGTCAGTCCAAATGCTAGAGCAAATGCCTCCCTGTAAAAGATAATAACAATGTCAGTCTAGATCCTAGAGAACTATCCTCCTTATAAAAGATAATAACAATGTCAGTCCAGATCCTAGAGAACTATCCTCCCTATGAAAGATAATAACAATGTCAGTCTAGATCCTACAGCACCTGCCTCCCTGTAAAAGATAATAACAATGTCAGTCCAGATCCTAGAGAACTATCCTCCCTATAAAAGATAATAACAATGTCAGTCCAGATCCTAGAGAACTATCCTCCATATAAAAGATAATAACAATGTCAGTCCAGATCCTAGAGCAACAGCTTCCCTGTAAAAGATTATAACAATGTCAGTCTAGATCCTAGAGAACTATCCTCCCTATAAAAGGTAATAACAATGTCAATCTAGATCCTACAGCACCTGCCTCCCTGTAAAAGATAATAACCATGTCAGTCCAGATCCTAGAGAACTATCCTCCCTATGAAAGATAATAACAATGTCAGTCCAGATCCTAGAGAACTATCCTCCCTATAAAAGATAATAACAATGTCAGTCTAGATCCTAGAGCACCTGCCTCCCTATAAAAGGTAATAACATTGTCAATCTAGTTCCTAGAGCTCCAGCTTCCCTGTAAAAGATAATAACAATGTCAGTCCAGATCCTAGAGCACCTGCTCCCTATAAAAGATAATAACAATGTCATTCTAGATCCTAGAGAACTACCCTCCCTGTAAAAGATAATAACAATGTCAGTCCAAATCCTAGAGCTCCAGCCTCCCTGTAAAAGATACTAACAATGTCAGTCCAGATCCTAGAGAACTATCCTCCCTATAAAAGATAATAACAATGTCAGTCCAGATCTTAGAGAACTATCCTCCCTATAAAAGATAATAACAATGTCAGTCTAGATCCTACAGCACCTGCCTCCCTGTAAAAGATAATAACAATGTCAGTCCAGATCCTAGAGAACTATCCTCCCTATAAAAGATAATAACAATGTCAATCTAGATCCAAGAGAACTATCCTCCTTTTAAAAGATAATAACAATGTCAGTCCAGATCCTAGAGAACTATCCTCCCTATAAAAGATAATAACAATGTCAGTCTAGATCCAAGAGAACTATCCTCCCTATAAAAGATAATAACAATGTCAGTCCAGATCCTAGAGAACTATCCTCCCTATAAAAGATAATAACAATGTCAGTCCAGATCCTAGAGAACTATCCTCCCTATGAAAATAATAACAATGTCGGTCCAGATCCTACAGCTCCAGTCTCCCTATAAAAGATAATAACAATGTCAGTCCAGATCCTAGAGAACTATCCTCCCTATGAAAGATAATAACAATGTCAGTCCAGATCCTAGAGAACTATCCTCCCTATGAAAGATAATAACAATGTCAGTCCAGATCCTAGAGAACTATCCTCCCTATAAAAGATAATAACAATGTCAGTCCAGATCCAAGAGAACTATCCTCCCTATAAAAGATAATAACAATGTCAGTCCAGATCCAAGAGAACTATCCTCCCTATAAAAGATAATAACAATGTCAGTCTAGATCCTACAGCACCTGCCTCCCTGTAAAAGATGATAACAATGTCAGTCCACATACTAGAGCACATCCTGTAAAAGATATTAACAATGTCAGTCCAGATCCAAGAGAACTATCCTCCCTGTAAAAGATAATAACAATGTCAATCTAGATCCTACAGCACCTGACTCCCTATAAAAGATAATAACAATGTCAGTCTAGATCCAAGAGAACTATCCTCCTTATAAAAGATAATAACAATGTCAGTCCAGATTCTAGAGAACTATCCTCCCTATGAAAGATAATAACAATGTCAATCTAGATCCTCCAGCACCTGACTCCCTATAAAAGATAATAACAATGTCAGTCTAGATCCAAGAGAACTATCCTCCTTATAAAAGATAATAACAATGTCAGTCCAGATCCTAGAGAACTATCCTCCCTATGAAAGATAATAACAATGTCAGTCCAGATCCTAGAGAACTATCCTCCCTATGAAAGATAATAACAATGTCAGTCCAGATTCAAGAGAACTATCCTCCTTATAAAAGATAATAACAATGTCAGTCCAGATCCTAGAGAACTATCCTCCCTATGAAAGATAATAACAATGTCAGTCCAGATCCTAGAGAACTATCCTCCCTATAAAAGATAATAACAATGTCAGTCTAGATCCTACAGCACCTGCCTCCCTGTAAAAGATAATAACAATGTCAGTCCAGATCCTAGAGAACTATCCTCCCTATAAAAGATAATAACAATGTCAATCTAGATCCAAGAGAACTATCCTCCTTTTAAAAGATAATAACAATGTCTCCAGCCTCCCTATAAAAGATAATAACAATGTCAGTCCAAGAGATCCTATAAAAGATAATAACAATGTCAGTCCAGATCCTAGAACTATCCTCCCTATAAAAGATAATAACAATGTCAGTCCAGATCCTAGAGAACTATCCTCCCTATGAAAATAATAACAATGTCGGTCCAGATCCTACAGCTCCAGTCTCCCTATAAAAGATAATAACAATGTCAGAACTATCCTCCCTATAAAAGATAATCCAGATCCAAGAGAACTATCCTCCCTATAAAAGATAATAACAATGTCAGTCCAGATCCTAGAGAACTATCCTCCCTATAAAAGATAATAACAATGTCAGTCCAGATCCTAGAGAACTATCCTCCCTATAAAAGATAATAACAATGTCAGTCTAGATCCAAGAGAACTATCCTCCCTTTAAAAGATAATAACCCTGTCAGTCCAGATCCTAGAGAACTATCCTCCCTATAAAAGATAATAACAATGTTCCCAAGAGAACTATCCTCCCTATAAAAGATAATAACAATGTCAGTCCAGATCCTAAAAGAGAACTATCCTCCCTATAAAAGATAATAACAATGTCAGTCCAGATCCTAGAGAACTATCCTCCCTATGAAAGATAATAACAATGTCAGTCCAGATCCAAGAGAACTATCCTCCTTATAAAAGATAATAACCAGTCCAGATCAAGAGAACTATCCTCCCTATAAAAGATAATAACAATGTCAGTCCAGATCCTAGAGAACTATCCTCCCTATAAAAGATAATAACAATGTCAGTCTAGATCCAAGAGAACTATCCTCCCTGTAAAAGATAATAACAATGTCAATCTAGATCCTACAGCACCTGCCTCCCTGTAAAAGATAATAACAATGTCAGTCCAGATCAATAGAGAACTATCCTCCCTATAAAAGATAATAACAATGTCAGTCTAGATCCTATAAAAGATAATAACAAGCACCTGCCTCCCTGTAAAAGATAATAACAATGTCAGTCCAGATCCTAGAGAACTATCCTCCCTATAAAAGATAATAACAATGTCAGTTAGATCTTAGAGAACTATCCTCCCTATAAAAGATAATAACAATGTCAGTCCAGATCCTAGAGAACTATCCTCCCTATAAAAGATAATAACAATGTCAGTCTAGATCCAAGAGAACTATCCTCCCTATAAAAGATAATAACAATGTCAGTCCAGATCCTAGAGAACTATCCTCCCTATGAAAAGATAATAACAATGTCATCCTCCCTATAAAAGATAATAACACTGTCAGTCTAGATCCTAGAGAACTTGCCTCCCTTTAAAAGATAATAACAATGTCAGTCCAGATCCTAGAGAACTATCCTCCCTATAAAAGATAATAACAATGTCAGTCTAGATCCTACAGCACCTGCCTCCCTATAAAAGATAATAACAATGTCAGTCCAGATCCTAGAGCACCTATAAAAGATAATAACAATGTCTCCCTACAGTAAAAGATAATAACAATGTCAGTCCACATACTAGAGCACATCCTGTAAAAGATAATAACAATGTCAGTCCAGATCCAAGAGAACTATCCTCCCACATACTAATAAAAGATAATAAAAGATAATAACAATGATAACAATGTCAGTCCACATACTAGAGCACATCCTGTAAAACAGCACCAAGAGAACTACTCCCTATAAAAGATATGTCAATCTATAACAATGTCAGATAATAACAATAGATCCAAGAGAACTATCCTCCTTATAAAAGATAATAACAATGTCAGTCCAGATCCTAGAGAACTATCCTCCCTATGAAAGATAATAACAATGTCAGTCCAGATCCTAGAGAACTATCCTCCCTATGAAAGATAATAACAATGTCAGTCCAGATTCAAGAGAACTATCCTCCCTATAAAAGATAATAACAATGTCAGTCTAGATCCTACAGCACCTGCCTCTCTGTAAAAGATAATAACAATGTCAGTCCAGATCCTAGAGAACTATCCTCCCTATAAAAGATAATAACAATGTCAATCTAGATCTTAGAGAACTATCCTCCCTATAAAAGATAATAACAATGTCAGTTCCAGATCCTAGAGAACTATCCTCCCTATAAAAGATAATAACAATGTCAGTTCCAGATCCTAGAGAACTATCCTCCCTATAAAAGATAATAACAATGTCAGTCCAGATTCTAGAGCTCCAGCTTCCCTGTAAAAGATAATAACAATGTCAGTCTAGATCCTACAGCACCTGCCTCCCTATAAAAGATAATAACAATGTCAATCTAGATCCTAGAGAACTATCCTCCCTATAAAAGATAATAACAATGTCAGTCCAGATCCTAGAGAACTATCCTCCCTGTAAAAGATAACAATGTCAATCTAGATCCTAGAGAACTATCCTCCCTGTAAAAGATAACAATGTCAGTTTAGATCCTAGAGCACCTGTCTCCCTGTCATTCATAAAAATTAGCTAAACCAACAGAAATCATGATTTTTAATGATATTCTAAATCATTTTGTACTCTCTGGCTTCTGTTGGTGGTTAGGGCCAAGTTTACAACAACAACTTGTAAAAAAACAAACCTGTCATCTTTGTTATGAACTTACAAGCAAATATTGACGAGGTTGTCCAGGTCAGTGCAGCTGCACTCATACATATCCCTACAACTGGTGTGGCTTTCATTCATCAGTTTCCCGAGTTTCTGTGAAGCTTGAGGGTCTGCCTCTTCACAGATATGTTTAAAGGACAAGACCCTCCCAGCCTCAGAGAAGACATGAGTGGCTCGCTGAAACAGCTTGAAAGATTGCACTGCAAATAGAAGAAGTTTACTTAGTATGTATTAACTCATTGTGTAAGGTAAATATCCTTCTTATCAGAATTAAGTTAAATGTGTTTTTTACATTCTTTTATATAGAACTAATTAATATTTCCAAAAACTGTAGATTAATTTCCCCACTGGGACAGTGATGATCAGACCTTGGGCAGTCCTAGCACTAAGGATATTGCTGACAAAGTCCTCCTCCTTCATGTCCAGAATCTGACAGATTTCTGAGCGAGTGTATGGTTCCTTGTGAAGGACCTCCTTTACAAGTTTTACTGCCTGAGGAAGGCTTATATTCAGGGCTTTCTGTACGTCTCCTAGACGCTGAAAATCAGCCCATTGAAGACCTTTCTGTTTGGCTAGAATCTGATAAAATACACAATCTTAGAAACAGACAAATGGCATGTTTGCATATAAAACATATGATTGTATAATATTTTTTGTGATAAATTTCAATAAAACAGTTGATTCCATCAATTCAAGTATGTAAAAAATTTCTTTGTCTCAATTTTCATGTGAAAATAAATTTCTTTGTCTCAATTTTTATGTGAAAATAAAACTATAAATACATGTATGTGATTTCAAAAGTCTTGCATTTATTTTTTCTGTCTAAATACAATATTTTACCAACAGCAAGTTTTGTAAAATATCTATTATTTTATCTTTGTTTTTTTTTAAGTAGTGTTATTAGTCTACTAAATAAATTCTGTTTAACTGCATTTTTTGACAATGGAGGGGTGTACAATTTCACTTCCTCCATACCTGAGTGGCAATTCTGCACTCTACGACCCTGGTGTTGAATTCTGATGATGATGCCTTATTTTTCTCTACACAGCTGTTTGAGATCACAAATGAAATTCCATCAGGCAGGTAGACGTCTGTTGCCTTCAGTGGGTTGAAATCAATCAATTTTGCCTGTAAAATGATTGTATGATTTTAGAACCTGATCTGAAATTGATCAAACTGAAGCAGAAAATACATGTATACAAAAGTTTATGATTAATGCAAGGATTAGGTCACCATGTTGACTTGGGTAACCTAAAACATTGTGTAAATCATATTTGGTTGGAAAGCATATACATGTAGATATCTTTGTATAAAGCACTGTTCTAAAAAATTGTTTTCTTACTGTTCCTTTGTGAGCCATAAATGATATTGCCTGATCCATGCCACCTCCCTGTGTTCCAATATAACGCTCACATTTAGCACACATATCTGCCAACTCTTTCTGAAAACAATCAAACAGTGGTGTTCTTGTACTTTATTTATGTTTGTATGAAAAAAGAAGTTAATTATTATTATAAATAAAATATGAAGATCACAGGAGTCAGAATATCTGAAAGAGGGCAAATAAGTTATGATAAATTCTACCTATAAACAAAATATATTTCAATTACTTACAAGTATTTCTTTACAAATTATTTGCAAAAATACTCTAATGCCAGCCATCATACATAAAAATAATTATACATGTATACTTGGAAATAGTGTTTCTTGCTTTACATTCTAGAGGTCAAAGTTTCTGACACCTTTGGCAGACTTTTCCCGTTGGCATACATTGTAACCAGGGCAGCACAACAAACAAGAGCGCTGGAGCTGGAGAGGCCAGAACTTGGGGGGACTGTCCCATCCACCATACACTTCATTCCCCGGGGTGGGGAGGAGAGCTTAAGGTGCTCTGTCATTCCCAGAAATCCACACTGGAAGTAGTCCTGCCACTGAGGTTTATCCTTGTTAATGTTCACATTGTTGACAGTAAATACAAAGTCACTACAATTTAATAAAAAAAATTATGAAAAACAACTTTTTCTTATATGCATGCAATATTAAGATACCATAATGTTATCTTCAAAGAGTGGTAATTTGAAATGAATTTTTGTTGCAGTGCTAAAAATAAATTTGCTTGTTAAACAGAATTGTACATGGAAATAAGATGAAAAAAACTTATCACTAAGATTGATCCAATTTGTGAACATAATAACATTTAAAAAATTTAAAAAATAAAAAGTAATCTTTGAGCTTTTCTCCATCTTCTTTTAGATTAACATACTTATATAATTCACTCTTCATATTTGTTAATAAAACATCTTGAGATTCTGTTGTAGCCACAGCAATAACAACATCCTGTTCTATCGCCATAGGCAACACCGAGTAACCACAGTAATCAATGTGTTCACCTAAAATAAATCAGTAAAAATGTTAATGTTATCAAATGACTACTTGGACAGAACATCGACACTGAACTAATACAATTCTGGACAGCTAAAACACTTGTAGAATATGCCTGACATTCCATTTCTTTCGACACAAAACACAAAAAATGTTTGTACACTGTACATGTATACAATGTAGATTTATAAAAGAGTAAATAAATCAAAAATTCTATAAGATGTACTTTATACTATGACTTAAATCATAATTCATCACAAAAAATAACAATATGACTTTCAAGTGAATGGTGTGACATGACATAATACTCTAAACATTTTGTAACTAGCAAAAGTATGTAAGACAATCTTGAATACAAAGGTTAATGAACTTTAAGCAACACTTGAACTTCAGAATGGCTTAATTAGGTAAACAATGTCTTATTAAAAGATTTACCAATTAAATTGACCCTTCCTGGGGCTCTTCCATAGAAGTTTGGTTCACAATCAAACTTTTCTTTGAACTTTTCAGTCAACTTCTTTAACCTGTAAAAATATTAATTAAAATATGTTTTAAAAAATTTAATACCCTGATGAGCCATTCCATTCTCCATTGTCAGATGATTAAACTGGTCTTATTATATTTCTGAAGAGAAAAGAAATACTAATAGAACCAAGGAAAGACTATCAGTATTTATCTTAAAACAAAAACTATCAAATACTCCAAAACTACACAAGGCAATAATCTTGGACATAGATCATTAATTTATTTAAATCAGAGTAAGATATAAAACATAACTGTGAATGTTTCCTAAGATCAATTAATTCTTTGTTTAATGTTACATGGGTGTGTTAAGGTTTAAGAGAAATCCACATTTTGAAAAAGAAAAAGAAACTAGAAACGATCTCGTTGCGAGCAACGAGAGGTCTTCCGTCCGATTCTGGAAAATATTCCACGTAAAATTGAGCTAAAATGTGGATAAAAAAAATTTGACACATGGGCGATTGAACCTGGGTGACCAGTGTGAAAATCCAACCAGCTATCCATTACGCTATTTGGAGTTCTTCTCTGAATTTACTTGTTTATACTTCTAAACAGTACACCAGTCTAAGAAAAATGAAAAGTGGGTCACTATTCATAATTTTGCGAAAGACGCCCAGGTAAATATTCACGTCTTTTCTTTGTAGTCTTCTTTTAGATAGGTGTGATTGCTTCAAAGAAATTTAAAAAAAATAAAAAGTTCTTATCGCCTATATTTTATTTCGAGATTTAGAAAGTATATTTAACACATTGTACACATTATATATCGTATCTAGCCAAGTAACACTAAAGCAGTGAAACGGTGATTAAGTTTGAGTTTGACACAGAATTGCAACATAACTACTACGTGACAATCCAAGTAGTTTGTTACATTACATTTATCCTTATGTTAGATTTGTTTAAGCAAACGCTCGGCTGCCTCTATAAACCCCGACTTGCGAAATGGCGGAGTTGACAGAGACAGCTGCCATTTTGGACACGCTTCAGACTCTTAAATGTTAATATCTAGAGTTGAGATTTACCAGTATTTAAACAAATTTTATATTTAGCTTTTTAAGAAGGGTCTCTATTAGCATTCGAAAAAGAAATGAAAAATCTTGAAAAACGAAAAAGTTAGAAAATACATTTTTTTTAATTCGCTTGCCGTTACGACCGGAAGTACTGACGACGAACAAAAGGTCGCGTCCTGGATAGTGAATATTACGATCTATAATCCCTGAAAGTTTCACATTTATATCTTCTACCGTTCTTGAGATTAACTGTGGACAAAATGTCATTTTATATTCAAAAAATGTCCCGTAACTTGGCACCAGAAGAGAATTTTCAAAAAATCTCTCGGAAAAAATAACTTCAGATAACAACACATAATTTTTGTAAATTTTATGAAAATCCACCCAGTAGTCTTCGAGAAATTGCGTGCACAAAATTTGGTGTATGGAAAAATAATAATAATAAGAAGAAACAATAGAATCACTATAAGGTCTTCCGTGAAGACGGAAGACCTTAATTAGTATTTTTATGCCCCCATAATTGAAGATTCAGGGGTATATTGTTTTTGTCATGTCAGTCTTTCTATCTGTCTGTCTTTCTGTATGTCTGTCTGTCAGAGTCCGTTTGTCTGCAAAAACTTTAACCTTGCTGATAACTTTAAATTGAGTGGAGCTATGACTTTCATATTTTACCGGGTACATGTTTATTTCTTATGACAAGACCTTTCTTTGGGTACCACCAAATTTGACCTTTTGACCTTGAAGTTTGACACAATTTACAAAAAAATTTTAAACTTCAAATTAACTTTTGAATGGTGAATACCAGGATTTTCATACTTCAAATATGTATTCTTCGTGGAAAGACCTTTCATTGGTTACCAACAACTTTGACCTTTTGACCTTGACATTGGATATTTACGTACTTTTAAAAAACTTCAACCTCAGCCATAACTTTTGATTCGTAAGGGCCAAGGGCATTCAGACTTCACAAATATAATCCTTGTGAGAAAACCTTACATTGGATACTAAGAACTTTGACCCTTTGTCCTTGACCTTGGAGTAAGATCTGCTTTATAAAACAAACCTTAAGCATAACTCTAGGTTTGAGTTAGGGCTTTCATACTTCACATATATATTTAATCCTTGTGACAAGACCTTTCACTGGATACCAACAACTTTGACCCTTTGACCTTGGAGCTTGACCTACTTTTTAAAAACTTTAACCTTGACCCTAACTTTTGAATGGTCATGGCTAGGGCTTTCATACTTCACATATGTAATCCTTGTGAAAAGACATTTCTGTAGAAACCAACAACTTTGACCCTTTGGGCTTTGTCCTTGACACTGGAGTTTGACCTACCTTTCAAAAACTTATCTTTGGCCATAACTTTTGAACAGAGCTAGTGCTTTCATATTTCACAACTGTATTTCTTGTGAGAAGACCTTACTTTGAGTATCAATATGTTTTTATCCTGTGACCTTGACCTTAAAGTTTGACCTTTAAAAACATGTTATCTTTAATTAACTTTTGATTGAGAAGAGAAAGGGCTTTCATATTTCACCTGTACTTATATCAAGATGTTTCCAAGTATGCTCTGATTATTGACCCCTTGACCTTCATATTTGACCTAATTTCCAAAATTTTTAATTCTGGTGATTACTTTTGAATGACATATGATTGGGCATTCATACTTGACACAATATGGTAAATAATTGATGGCATATCCCACCAACTAAAACATCAAAAGCGATGGACCACAAGTCTTTGAATTTGCTTGTTCAAAGTTTTGATTTAATTTTGTCCATGCTGTACCGTTATCGTCAGTCCATTGCCTAGAAAATTATTGCATGTTGGAAATTTCTTGAAGATAATTTTAAGAAAAAGTTTGGATCTGACATTAAATTATTTTGACTAAAAATTGAAATCACCAATGAAGTTGATTAATTGATTGATTGATTTTATATTGTTTAACGTCCCTCTCAAGAATTTTTCACTCATGTGGAGACCTACTACCACATGGGGCCTCGGTTTGTACGGTCTCATCCGAAGGACCTGTCTCCAAGTCCCACAAAGTGATTCAAACCCACGACATATGGATCAACTCCTTACTTTGTGTCTCTAGAGCAGATGCTCTTACCACTGCACCATGTGGCTAATGAAGTTGAAAATGTTATCCTTACTCCAAATCCATTTATATTGAAAGAAGAGGTTCACTTACTTCAAAGAAATCTAGAGAGGTCATAGACCATACTAAACTTGTTATCTCTAGATTTTTCATGTAATTCTGGTCGATTATATCACAAGAGGAATCGGCAGATGATAGAACGAAGTTATTCAATCATTTTTGATTCTAGATCTCACTTGAAAACAGTAGGAAAAGTTTATATATTACTTGGTAATTAATATCAACTGTAAACCGAGGCACCCCCTGAAATTTAAGATCCCAACTGCCGTACCTTCACTCTTTTTATATAAAGTAATAAGATATTTTTAAAAATGCTAGGCCCTAATCAGGTCCAGGAAAATCACTATATTTAGCTATATAGCTTAATTTACTTATATAGCTTTATTTACCTATATAATATAGCTTTATTTAGCTATTTTTGTATAAGTTTCTGTTTTATGAAAAGCAGACAAAAGGTCGCATGAAAATTATGGCGGATATTTTTTTTAAAAGGTTTGATAAAAACAACTTAGGGCACATACATGCCAACTTTTGAAAATTCCCATGGGGGATTTAGCGCGTGACGACAATTTTCAAAGCTTTTAAATTCGCGACATTTTGTCGTGAAATTAAATGATTATGAAATGATCTTTTTTTAAATTTATAATAATGATATTACTTATCAATACAGCTTAAAAATTAATTTAACACAAAAAATAATGTTTTTCTTTCCAAAATTGAAATATTTCTGCTAAAATAGGTGCCTCTTTCACTTAAGAAGGGGTATTTAGATACATATGTAAACAACATTTTTTTCTACCAGAAAACATAATTTAGTGAAAAATTGAAAAGTTTACAACTTTTAGGCCTAAATCATTTTTTCAAAGGCTAAAAAATATGAGGTTTTGATACTGTAAAGTCCTGTTTCTGGAAACATTTTTGAGATTTTTTATATTATATTAGAAATTCTAATTATATATTAAATTTACAGAAATTTATACCACCTATCTAAAAGAAAATTATTTTTTTTTTTAGTCATGAAATTTGTCAGGCTTGATGGTGCCTTGTGGGTATTTCCTTTAGTCATGCACATTACTTTTGGGAGAAGGGAGGGAAAAGAAATTCTAATTGAAATACACTTGATTGTTTCATCTTAATTTTTTCATAATATTTTAATTGGCAACTTAGAAATATTTTTTATTATAGGTAGATAAAATTATCAGCTATGCTTTGTAGTTTTCTACTTTCGTTTTCAAAAAACGATCTCTTTGGATTCCGATTTTATGGTTTAATTAGTATTTTATTGTCTTTAATTTATGTTTTTAATAAAATGACCAACAGTTATCATGTTAATCTATGTGTTTCACCTTGCATACTCCTTAGAACTGACAAGATAATCCCCTAATTGCCCCAAGCTATAAGCTACTCGTACCTGGACAACTGCGTGCGTTCATGGGTGAAGTGATTTCCTGTGGCTAATTAGTAATGAACACCTGGTTAAATAAACAGTGAAACTTATCTGTGTGCATTGAATATACAAGTCTGACATTGTTATCCCGATTGTCAAAATTCAGCGGTAGGGAAACTTTTAAAATCTGAAATTTTAAAGTGATTTTTTTTTTCAAATCGGGAAATTAGGGCAATTTTTCTCTCCCGATCGGGAAGGCGGGATGAAAGGGTAAAATCGGGAGGATCCCGCCTAAATCGGGAAAGTTGGCATGTATGAGGGCACAGATGGCACCGTAAAAACATTGCCTCTTTTAAACACTTTTTAACCAAAAAATGCATCCCTATTGTTTGGATAGCTATCCCTCACTGGACGTGCAATGAGGCATGACTAAGTGTGATTGCCTTGCATTGTGCTGAATTATTATCAATCAATTATCTTGTTGACCAAAACTGCTTTTCTTTGTTAAAGTAGCTGCTTAATCACATATTAACCGTTATACATATCCCCAAACTTTTAGATCTTTGACTGCAATTGCACAAAAGGAGAAACATTTTTAAAAGTGGGTTTTGGGTGAATTGTTTTCAGTCCATTTCAAAGTTGAAAACTAATACTGCCGTATTATGCGACTTTTTGTCTACTTGTCATAAAACAAAAACTTATTCTAAAATAGCTAAATAAAGCTATATTATATAGGTAAATAAAGCTATATAGGTAAATTAAGCTATATAGCTAAATAAGTAATTATACCTTTCAAATCCTTGATCCGTCTGAACGGTAACGACAGGTACTTCGTCCGCCATAATTGTATCATGTGACCAGAAAAAACTTCCGCAAGAGTATTAACACTCCAATCCCGATTCAGCAACTTCTTTACACTTTGTATGATTTTTTTTTTTACTTTTTGATGATGAACAGAAAAACGAATGTTTTATTAAAAAGTAACTTTTTAAGAATTTCAAAAGGAAATAAATTTATTTTAAATCGAAGTTTGAAACTTTTTATAATCGGGCTCGATATTTTCAATATCATGGCCACCATGTGGTCAAGAAAACTATCAAGGTTACAAAAAAATACGACCTGCTTTCGAAGAATTGCTCTCAGGGGTGTTTCCATAGCATCTTTAGAAGAACATAACTCTGAAGATGAAAAGGCAACTTATCCATTCATCAAACCTCGCATACCTCCGGGGAAATGGGGTGACATGGAGCCGAGAGTGGCATGGGAATGGTATGATTGTAGACAAGAATTTATGATGTTGCCAACAATAGAAGAAAGGATACGCCTTATGGATACAAAATACTGCGAAGACAAATACTGTTATAAATACTGGAATTATCCCTTATTGAACAGAACCCCAGGAAATTTGAAATATCAACAAATCATGACAAAAACTGTTTTGGAAGAAGTTCCAAATCTGAAAGACAGAATTCATAGTTTAGATAAAATAAACATTGAAGAAGTGACCAAAGTAAAACACATTCTAGGCCCAATTGTGATGGATATTCTAACAGAAGAACTTACACAGCTGGATCGCAGACATGCCAAACCTGTTTTGGGATATAACAATGAACAAGTCACGGAAGATAAACACCCAGACATTATTGTAAAAAGATTACTGTATGTTATATCAACTGTTTTAGGGAATCAGTACCCTCATCTTTCTGAAATGCAGATAACAGAAAATGTAGAATTAGCAGCCCACTGGAATAAGTATGGAATAAAGAGAATCAATCCACCCAATGTCATAAGGAGACGGCACCATATTCATAACCAATTTGAAATGAAGACACTTCATAGAAAGCGTACCCCATTTGAACTTCAGTTGAATTCAAGAGTGTATGCTAATGGAAGGGTTAGCTTCATGGTCAGGAGTGAAAATCCTCTTCCAGAAGTAAGCTGATGAGGTGGTTGTATGAAACTTGTCATAAATTAATATTTTCTTCATTTAACTTATTAGTAATTATACATAAATGTACATTATTTCATTAATTTATTTTTTATTTGAAGTAATACAATTCTTCAAGCTTAACTCAAAGCAAAACAGTACAAGTAATTGGAAGAAGTCTGATATTTTTTTCCCTTAGAAGTTGTAGTAAATGTTTGTGTCATACTTACATGTCGTTACTTTTTTGCAGTTTGCAGATGTTCAGGAATCAGAGTTTGACGAGGATAAACTGAAGGAGGACAGACTGATTTATCACGAGAACAAAAAAATGGAGGAGGAACAGAAAGCGAAGACATCCAGCACAGATGTAAAGGGGGGCAACTCAGAGCCACCCAGCAGGCACCTGTATCCCAAGTCTTACGGGGCTTCGTTTGGGGATGAACTCATCACTGTTAATCCAGGTAGATTTATTGTTATCCAGTACAGTCAACTAGGGCTGTCACGGGTACCAGAAATGACCCAAAACCGCGGAACAATTAATTCAAGTTGGGTTCGGTTCTGTTTTTCCAGAATTCGGTTCAGTTCCGATTTGAACAATAGAGTAGGTTTTACCATAAAAATGGCGTCTAAAACGAGAGATTCGTTAGTACATTGCCATTATAGTGTGATTTAAATAATTTGGTACAATCATTTTCTAGTCAGGATACTTCTTTAAACTAGTTATTGTGTTGCTATTTCTTAGATTAAATGAAAATAATTTTTTTTGCTGAATATAATTCAAATCATGAGCTTTTATTAGGTCACCTGAGTAACTCAGGTGACCTATTGCTATCTGTTTTCGTCCGTCGTTGTCCGTCGTCAGTCGTCCGTCGTGCGTCGTGTGTTAACATTTGAACATTTTCAGCTTCTTCTCTGAAACCACTGAACCAATTTCAACCAAATTTGGTATACAGCATCTATGGGTGGAGGGGAACAAAAATTTTGAATTTCATGTCCCCGCCCCCCTGGGGCCTGAGAGGTGGGGCCAAAACCACTAAAATTAGTGCAATCTTTAAAAATCTTCTTCTATACTGCTGGACATCAAGCAGGCAAACTGTTGGCATGAATGTAATGAGCATTGAGTCCTCTACCAAAATTGTGAAATTCATGGCCCCAGGGTCAGGGGTTCTAGTGCTAGGGCGGGGCTCTATAGATTATATAGTAAAAATGCATTATTTCTTTGAAAATCTTCTTCTCTGCTCCTGGGTATTAGATAAACTAACTAAGCACATAGCTATGATGAGCAAGAGTGCCTCTTCCAGATTTGTGAATTTTATGGCCCCAGGGTCAGGGATTCTGGTGTTAGGGCGGGGCTCTATAGATAATATAGTGAAAATGCATTATTTCTTTGAAACTCTTCTTCTCTGCTCCTGGGTATTAAATACACTAAATAAGCACATAGTTATGATGAGCAAGAGTACCTTTGAATTTTATGGCCCCAGGGTCAGGGGTTCTGGTGTTAGGGCGGGGCTCTATAGATTATATAGTGAAAATGCATTATTTCTTTGAAAATCTTTTTCTCTGCTCCTGGGTATTAAATACACTAAATAAGCACATAGTTATGATGAGCAAGAGTGCCTCTTCCAAAATTGTGAATTTTATGGCCACAGGGTCAGGGGTTCTGGTGTTAGGGCGGGGCTCTATAGATTATATAGTGAAAATGCATTATTTCTTAGAAAATCTTCTTCTCTGCTCCTGGGTATTAGATTAACTAACTAAGCACATAGTTATGATGAGCAAGAGTGCCTCTTCCAAAATTGTGAATTTTATGGCCCCAGGGTCAGGGGTTCTGGTGTTAAGTCGGGGCTCTATTGATTATATAGTAAAAATACATTTATTCTTTGTAAATATTTTTCTTTGCTTTTGGGATTTAAGCCAATGATCCAAGTATATATATATTTATGATGAAGAAAGGTGCATCTAGAAAAGTGGTTATTAATGCCCCCAGGGTCAAAAGGGGGGGGGGGGGATGGTTACATAGCCTGAAAATAAATTAATGCTTTGAAGTCTGCTCTTTGGTATTAATCAACCATTTTATGATAAAATTTGCAAAATTTTGAAATATATGGCCCTGGGTCAGTGGTTCCTTTGGGGTGAGGTGCACAACTGGTTATAAAGTGGAAGTGCATTTTCTCTTTGTTACTCTGATCTACCTCTGGGTATTAAAGGTACTTGGACACAGATTTGAAGTTAATATTTTCTCATTTTTTCTGTATAATATCACGAATTATATATTTTAATAGCATTTCACACAAAAATTAATTAAAAATCTTATTTCATTTAAAAGTTATTAAAACTTTAAATTTTTTGGCGGGTTTGATTGACACATCCTTGCACTTTCACAAATTTTAACTTTATTCGTAATCCTTAGGAAAAGTGGCAATTTTGATGTGTTTTAATTAGGGATGTCAACGAGTACCCGGTTAACCGGGTACTCGATCGAACGTCCGAGTATCGAATACTAAAATCGGTACTCGGTTACTCGGATGTATATTTTTAAATATTTCTAAGCTTATTTATTAATGCATTAAAACATCGGTTTTAAAACGTAAAATGTTCATTGCACTTGTACATACAGTAATTAGGGTTTCCTATGCCTCTAAATGACCGTTATCGCCTGTGGCAGTGTTTATACAGTAATTATCGTGACCAAACACTTGATGTACCTACCCGGGCTTTTCTCACCTTCGACTGTCGTCTTCCCTTATATTTAGTTTGCTTTAATTATTTGTTTTGATTGAACATCGTTTAAGGTCCATTATATTTAAACAAATTAAATAATTTTGTCAATTCTCCAAGAAGCCGTAAATTCTCGGGAGAGAGACGTTATTGCACGTGCGATTGTTGATTTGGATGCATTTGATTACATGGCAAATAATGCAAATGGTTGAAGGCAAATGCTTTAAAAATCTTATGTCCATCGTTGCTCCAAACTACAACATACCGTATCGTAATTCTATGAAATCTAGGATCAAAAAGTGTACGAAGATCGTATAAATCCGCTCTGTTATAGGATAAAAATCATAACTTATCAAGTTTATACCGTACATATAGCTCAGACACTTATCACTTGGACATCAAACGCACCTAAGAGTTACATTACAATTATGGAACAGAATTCATTTTTTAAACAAAAACACTGTGAACCATTTCTGATTTTATTTCTCGTATTTATCTGATAAATAAATTGAACTTAAAAAAATGTTGGATTAAATTTCGTCGGTTACAAAGTGGTCATAATTGTTACAACGCATTTGCAGGTAACCTAGCTCCCATCGGTTTTATTTCTACAAGAGTTTACAGTGTTTTACAGTTATCAATTAACTTGTTCATATTTATTTACACTTTTACCGAGTACCCGGGTACTCGATCGGAAAAACCTCCGAGTAACCGAGTATCAAAAATTGACCGATTTGACATCCCTAGTTTTAATGAGAAATATTAAAACTTTTATCAAGAAAAATAATTTTATTTAGAGTAGAAATGTTAGAAAGCAAAACACTTTCACAAGTATCGTCATTCCGAACTAAGAGATGCGTACAGAGTTTAGCAAATCGAGCACACTCATGTTATGTACACAGTTTTTGTAAACAGGGCTCGAGTTCTGTTATTGTTTATATTTAGAATTCACCAGGTGCGTTCAATCGTCACAGTCTGCTTACCACAACTTCACGGACTGACAATATATTGTGTGTTTGTTTTGCTTTCGAACGTGTCTACTCTGAATTTTCTGGATTATAGTATTAACATTTTTCATTTATACAAAACGAGATTGCCACATTTCCTAAGGATTAAGAATAAAATTAGATTTGTGAGAGTGCAAGGATATGTCAATCAAACCCGCCGAAAAATTTGAAATTTCAATATCTTTTAAATGAAATAATATTTTTAATAAATTTTTGTGTGAAATGCTATTAAAATATATAAGTCGTAATATTATAGAGAAAATAATAACTTCAAATCTGTGTCCAAGTACCTTTAAGTAAATAGAGTAAGCATGCTAAGTTAATAATTATGATATGCAATGGTGCCTCTTTCAAAATTGTAAATTGTAGTGATGGGGAATCGGGAAAAAATCAGAATCGATTATCGGTAATAATCGGCTGGGCATAATCGATTAATAATCGATTATAATCGAAATTTTGAACTTTAATAAAATTAATACAGAAAAGTTGAAACTTATTCAGATTTTTGTTAGACTTTTACAAAAAAACAAACAAAAAACATTTACTTACATTAAATATTTAAAAATGTTAATTGAAAATTATTTTTTAAAAAGTGGAAAATAATATTTTGTTTACTTTAAACAATATAGGACTATTGAAAGTCAAACAGAATGGGAATTTTTTTTTTTTTTTTTTTTTTACAAAGTCCATGCAATGGGTATTTTACTGATATTAGTCCCACCTTTCATTTAATACATGTATATTTTTCTTAAAATTAGTTTTAATTAGTTAAAATATAATAAAATTGCAAGTCTTAAAAGGAATTATCCAGAAGTTAGACTTGTATTTATGATAATAATTACGTTTAAAGATTGACAAGACTATAATTATGTTTTCCTTTGTATAGTAAAACCTTGCAATATTAGCGTTTCCGGGTATTAGTCTAACCCTATATTTAATCATGTCGGTAAAAGTATCAACAAGACACGGAATTCTTCCACGTTTTCAACGTTCATCACTACTTATATGCTCTTTGCATTTGGATTTGGTAATAAAATTAAAGTATGACAATTTTATTTTTTGTTAGCGATGTCGGCGACATTTATTTTATAATCGATTAGTAGCATCGAAGAGCTTCTAACGACCGACAATCGATTGTCGGCGACAATCGTTCCATCACTAGTAAATTGTGAATTTCATGGCCTCCGGTTTAAACACGAACCAAATTTAATTGTTTGAAAGTTGTTACACAATACTCAGGTGACCTATAAGGCCCGTGGGCCTCTTGTTCCATTGTATACCCGATCTGAAAACCCAAAATCGAACATTAAAAAAATAGAACCGACCTGACCGAAAAAATTTTGGAACCGTGACAGCCTACAGTCAACTTGTTTGGTATTCTCATGACTTGGTCACAGGACAGAAGACTCTGAAGTGAACCAAGTTATCAGTAGAATCAAAGTTTATAAGGGCATTCATATTTCATGTGGATTACCTGTTAATATGAGGTTTTTATGTGTGTTGGGTAGACCAGATAGGACACACAAACAAGACAATTATAAAATGTCATAAATAATTGCATCACAACCATTAAGACACAAAACTTGGAGCTTCCATGTTTTGATTAGGCCTAGAAAAAAAATATGTTTGTTTCCGCTTTCCCGACCGACCCTAATTTATAGTGCCGACCCTGAATATTTTTTTAATGCTTTTGTCCCATGATGTGCAAGATTTCAACCAGGGAATTATAGCCTCCAACTTTGCAAGCTTTTCAAGACATAAAGAAGTTTGGGTCACTTTTCTATTATAAGTTAAGTCACAGTAATGCTTGAAAACACCATTTCTTTTGTCATTATTGTTACTTCTATACACGTTTTGATTAAAGAAGCAAAAAAATTTTTTTCAAAAAAAAAAAAATTGCCAACCTACCTACCCTATATTTTTTCAGCCTGAAAGCGGAAACAAACGTATTTTTTTTCTAGGCCTTAGAGAATTTTAAAACACTTTGTATAAGGATATACCAATTATTATTTAGTCAAAATCTGTGAAGGTTATAATTTTTCAATGTTTTAGATATAATCTAAATTTTTCTAAACCAAGATATTTTTTTTTATTTTGCAGGATTTAATTTAGGAGATCCTGCTCAGTTTGGTTACATGTTTATACAAAATACAAACAAGAGGAAACTTCACAAGATGGAAGAAGATTATGGGGAGAGATACGCAGCAGAAGCCAGGATAGGCTGGGGGATGAGTACTGGGTTTGTCTGGAATGTGGCCCAAGCACACTACCAAGGTGAAACATACATATATATTTCCTGTCTGTTAAAAGAGGTGCAATGAGAGAAACATGTTTAATGGGAAGTTATTTTTGTCTCACCTCTGCCTCAGGTTCATTAAGATAATCCTAGGACCATTAGTGAAGTGCACTTGTATGCAAACTTTTTTTGAAATGAAGTGAGAGGTTGGACCAGGGGTAAAGGTTAACAAGCCAAGTGGCAGTACTCCCAAGTCTGTGTGTTAATTGGGATCGAATTTATGTGGATGGCATTGTATCTAACACATAATTGTGCTCTGTACCTTTGGCTCAGAGAGAAGTGAATAACAATTCTGCATGGAGATTGACATAAGGCCAAAAAAAATAATAGTCTTGTTTCCTGCTACCAGCCAGAAAAAAATAGGGTAGGTAGGTAGGAAAATTATTTTATTTTTTAATTTTATTTTATTTATTCAACGGTATTTCTTTGGATATGAACTACTACAAAACTAAACTGAACATGTCATAGCTAAGGTCAATATCATCGTTTAAAATTAAATTCCATGTCTTTTGATGCACAACTCAATTAGAATTTTATGAAAGTCAATGTTTTAAACATATATTTTATGTAATACAACTTGAGTATATATATTTTTTTCACTTTTGAAACATGAAATTCCTAAAATTTTGGATTTTTTCCCCAAAAGCTAAAAAAAACTTTAGGGTCGGGTGCAAAAAAATAGGGTAGGTCGGGTAGCAGGAAACAAGACTATTTTTTATTTTGGCCTAATCACTCATTAGAAGAGTCAAGATGTCATGCAGTATCAGGAAGGATGAAATAATAACTTAGATGATGGTACATTTGAAATAAATATAATTGTTGAAAAAGAAAATAATTTTTTTTGGGGGGGGGGGAGGGGTACTAGATCTTTGACAGGGCTGACAACTTTGTTTAGCAATCAGTTTTACATGTCAGACTATATGGTTAGATTCAAACACTGTCATAGACACCTATTGGTACTTTTTTCTTTTTAACAAATGCGGCCGTAAATTCCCATAGTTTGGCCTGGTCCGCTCAGATCTTGCTCATGACCAGATTTGATACAACCTTTTAGCAATGATATATATTTCAACAAGATGCAGTCCAGTGAAATTCGAAGTTCAGTTTATATAAGCAAGTTTGCCGAGTTCTCTGTTTTTAAAGTACATGTATATGCTCTTTCTTAATTGAGGTCCTAAAGGAAATTTCTTTTTAATCTGATAGAAAATAGTAGAGACAATTGTCATGCCTCAGTTCGGGGAACTAAAATAAGGTTTTCCTGAGAGTTTTATAGAAAGACAGGATTCTATAATCCAGTAGTACTTTTTCAAATGATGTTTGAATTTCTACTATGGTTAACCTCATCTGTAATAATATTTTTAAAATTTTTTGATCAACAAGATTTGCCTTTTGTAGGATTCAACAGCTTCATAGATATAACTTATCCTTTTACGAATTTCGGAATTTTGACGGATGGACGAAAGTTTCAGTTTTTTGCCAATCAGCTTAACACCTTGCACCTTTGGAAAAACACAGAGGCAAACCCCATCCATAATGTGTGTTGGTACACCCCAGAAATGGCTTTATACGAAACATTTGAAGACAACAAAATTCTGGGCTTTGATCAAACAGTTTTAGAACAGTTAATCAACTTCTTGTTATGTCAACCACAAGAGAGAGAGTATGACATCAAACCCACACTTCCTGCAGATTCTCCAGACAAAGTGAAAATAGAGCAATGGATCAATCTCAAAGTCAAAACTGAAAAAGAGGAGGAAGAGGTGGTGTATGATGAATCACAACTACTGATTCATTGAATAACTAATGGAACAATTAATGAAATAACTGACATATCCTATCCTGGATAGTTATCTGAATATCAGAAGGACTAATATTTTACTCCTTTATAACTAGCATTATATAAATTATATGGCATGAATTGCAAAGATACAGAGGAAGGAGTGACATCTTTGATCTGTTGGATTTCTGATCGTTGAGACATAGTAAAGAATGTTTAGTAATTATGAATGAGTGTGTATAAATTTCTCCAAGGTGATGGAGAAAAATAAATCATAGATTTAAATGTGTTTGACCTGTCAGAAATTTTTTCATAAAACTTGTGAGGTAGGACAAAGGGCATGCTATGTAAAACACTGTCTGGTTTTTGCAATGCCTGTTTGATATTTAGTACTGAAACATTGTATATGCATGATATTTACCGGCACTGTTTCTGGTTTGAGTAGGGACTGTTTGATGCAAAAGATAACCTTAATTAACCATTTTTAGCTCACCTGAGCCAAAGGCTCAAGTGTGCTTTTCTGGCTTTGGGGCCACCAACCCTGAGATTTTCTCAAATCTGAGATTTCTCAGAAAATCTGAGTTTTTCTTACCAAACTGTGCCACCAAACATGTATTTTCTCAAACTCAGACTTATCTTTTGATTTTTTTCTCGAATCTGAGAATTTTTCTCAAGCCTGAGATTTTTCTCAAAGATGAGCACCACAAACGTTTTTTCCAACTCAGGTGAGAAAAAAATCTGAGATTTCTCAGAAAATCTTGAGATTGATAGATACCAGTCTCAAATAAAATCTCAAAGAATTTTTTTAAGGTAAAATGATCGCAAATGTTAGGACAGAGCACAATTTAATCCATAAACACACAAAATTAACATGCAAGCACAGAAAGTAAATTTCCATCCTGTGAGGAGGGGGGGGATTCTTAATTACGCACATGAAGTCAAGAATCAAAACTTTTTTTAAAAGGGAAAAATAAAGAAAAAATAAGGGGAAAAAAAGAACAAAGGAAAACTAGTGCTCTAGTGGCACGCTTTACAAACAAGTATATCTCCATTCATATTACTTAATTTCGTTTTTTCTTCTGAGGAGTTTTTTTTTTCCAGTAAAGCTTTTTAGAACCCAAGATGCATCATCAAATAGTGAAAAATTTAGATATAACCTTAAAATTCCAGAAGTAGGTCACAGTGATCTAATTTTCAGCTGACAAGACTCGGTGGGACCCATGATACATTAACTGACAAAGTTTGTTGATTGTAAGCAATTCAGTATCTAAAATAGAATAGCCATTAATTTCAAAAGTAAGCCACTGTGACCTTGAAGAAGAATGCTTGCAAAATTTATAACGGGTCACTTAAACTTACTTCATGAAAATATAAGGCCCCAAGATGCATCAATTCGCAAGGTTTGATGATTCTAAACCTCTCAGTAACTGAAATAATGACATTTTTTTCAATTTTTTAGCCATAAAATTCAAAAGTAAGTCGGGGTAATGCATAAGCTGAAAAGTTTTGATAATCATAGCCACTGTTCATAGCCATAGTCAAATTAGTATCCTCTCATATATACTAAAGCAAGGTTCAAAATCATCAAACTTTGTATGTTAATGCATCTTAGGGCTTTAAAACATGTTTATCAAAAAGAAGGTCACAGTGACCTACTTTTTGAATTTTGCAGGCTTTCTATTGTTTGAGGCAAAGTTTGGACACTTTGAAGCCTATGATAATAATTGGCTCAGAGTTATCAAACATTGTCAATTGATGCATCTTGGGTTCTCAACATGAGAAGAGAGTCACTGTGACATACTTTTGAATTTTATGGCAATATCTAAATATTTTAGACTCTAATTAGCTTTGGATTATCAAACACTTCTGACAGTTGATGTATTTTTTGTCCTCGAATATGTCAACTAAAACGTAGGTCACAGTGACATACTTTTGGAACTGTCACAAGAAATACACTTGTAGAATGTAACATTCCTAACACAAACAATTCAAAAGCTTTTTTCCAAAGTAGGTCAGATTCAAAGGTCAAACTTGTTTTTATCAAAAGGAAGTATATATTGCAAGGAACTTGTCAATACGCATGTGAAATAAGAGAGCCATATCTCTGACCAATCAAAAGTTCAGGGCAAGAGTAAAGTTTTTGCGGACAAACAGACAGCTAGACATACGGACGGACAGGGCAAAAACTCTATGCCCTCGAATCTTCGATTACGGGGGCATTCAAAAATTCCTTTTCATATCCCCCATAATATAATGTGAGACGATATTATACATTTATTGACTGTGTTGGAGGGCAACTATGTACCGGGTATTTTTTCCGGACCCAAGAACCAAACTTTTTTGCCTGAGGCAGTTAGATCGAAGGCAGACAGTTTGGATCGGATCGAGGGTCGACAAAACGCATTTTGCCCGAGAACATAGTCAATTAATGTTTTGTTATACCTTTTAAATTTGATTTTGACAAATTATAATGTAAATTTCGTTTATCCTACAGTTCTGGCGAACTCCAGTAAGATATAGCTGCCTCCGCTCACTCTGTGACGCAATCGGTCTAACATCTCGTTGACATGTCCAACATCTCATTCTGCGGTCAAACATCGTTTTTTCATGCCCGCTCAGTAAAACATTGGAAAATTTATCCTTTTTTTAGTATAGAATTATATAGGACACGGTTTTAAAAGTATAACAATTCAAAATATAGACTGTGCTCTTCAGGATGCAGGCAGTTCATTAAATTGTTTTTTTTTTTTTGCCCCCCCCCCTTCCATTTGAAGAGAGTTGATGAAGCAAGAATATCCGCAGTCTCGTTTAAAGTCATCATTTCGTAAGTTCTGTGGTCGATACAGTGACCTTGTCAGCAAATACAGTATATCATTGAGTCAATTGATCCTCTTTCCCCGTTATTTCCCGACCATAACTAAGAGCACACGGCGGGTGTGACCCGTCGGCAGGGGATGCTCACGCCTCAATGTGACCTGATCCCACCTCTGATGTTTTGGAGGTCCGTGTTGCTCTGTTCCTATTTTGTATTGCTTTTTGGACTTTCGAGCTTGAAACTCCGTTTGGGGAAAATAATTTTAGTATTTTCTTGTTACAATTTCTTGTTACATGTACTATATACTTGGTGTAGCAGATCTATTGCTAATGTCAGTCACATATGTTCGCTGCAGATTGTAGAAGCAATGGTTTCCCCCCCCCCCCCCCCGTTTATGTCTTTCAGAAGAATTTGATGTTTTGATGTAAACCAATGAACATCTGCCCCTTTTCTTGTTAAATCTTTGGATCCGCCACCGGTCAGATCTGTTCCCTGATTCTACATGAATCTGTATGTATTGGACACTATACATTCCTTTGTAATAAGCCTAAATCTGGCTGCAGCTAAATCTTGATTAGGCGAGATTATACGGATCACATTGTATTAATTCACTGGTTAATCCCCCGGCACATGAGAGGTATATACATATCATATACAACTTAATCTTCTGTAATCCATCCACCTTTGGAATATTAATCTTCATTTGAAATGTACATCGTCATGTGTATGAGTGAAAATGAAGACCACGGTTTCAAACAATTTATACATGGACGGAAAAAGAATACAAGGTACATGAATTTTGTTTTAATGTTTTAAAACTTTCAGCAAAATCCTGGCATGAGCAGGCTTATATATATATTGAAAAATATCAGTGTTTTAGTATATTTCTTAATCTACTGAGAGTCGGTTTAATTCACAGTAATGCCAAGCCTAGGAGTCCGGTCGTATAGAAGGGGATCGACTGTTCAAACCACACTAAGGTACGGTACACCGAAAATTTCCGTCTAAATTAACGTTAAAATAAAATGTATTTATGTGTACTATGGTCATTTCCTACAATATCTATTAAATATAATTATTTTAGAAGTAATAAAATTAATGTCCTTAAAGCTGATAAATTTGATCCTACCAGGTTATTCAGCCCCCCCAACCCCCCTCGCCTTCATTCTAAATCTGGAGTGTGTACCACTGTATCAGTCTTTTATTTTATAAACAAGAATTAAATGTACAACTAATAGTTGATAAACATTGTACAATAGTGTAGGTTTTAATTACATTAAATACGCCCCTTAATGCCATTGATTGTTCATGTTGGTGTCTTAGTTTATTATACTACTTAAAAATGAGTTCTGAAAAGGGAGGAGGTGCTCTTGAAAGAGATTTCCGTCTAGCATTTACATTCGCCGGGTATATGCAATGTTGTTTGATGCAAAAATCTCTAGAAATTAAAGACAATTAAAGTTAGATGTAAAATTGTATATTTAACATGCCAATCGAATTTCTTCGGCAAAACAGTTCCCTTTGCAAAAAAAAAAAAAAAAAAAATCGATTATCTTTTCTTATCAAGTTAATGAAAACACAGTTTTACAGAGAGAGAGAGAGAGAAAGAGAGAGAGAGAGAGAGATTTGAAATTAATAATTAGCCTGCAAACTCTTTTTAAATTAGCTTGGCATGGCCTTGTATCTGAACACACCTTTAACATGCATTTTATCCTCTTAAGGGCATGATAAATCCGAATTAATGCAATATGTAGATCTACATACGGGGCTTTGTCTAAGAACATGTGGCTTACCGGATCAGCCCTGATGAGTCTCGGGTCAATGGTATAAAATCTTAGGCATGATATTTTTAACTCCATAGAATTAATTGCCAACAGAATGGTTAACTCCCTAGACATAAATATGCAGGAAAATCCAAAAGAATATTACAAATGTATTTGAGTTAAGGGGATAGAAGACTACACTATTGCCACCCCCCCCCCCCCCAAACCCAACCCACCCACCCACACTTCTTGCAAAAATTATACAGGTATACCAAGACTAGTATGCGTTTGAATTTTCAAGCTGCAAAAGTTAAAGATTTTTTAAATGTTCATCTACATTAAGATCATTCCTAGTGTTGAGGAATTCTCATATCCATTTTCCTTTCCAGTTAAATTAAAGTTATCGTCCAGATCCAAAAAAATCAACATGCCGTCCATGAAAACTGACAGGGAGGGCAAAACTACATACGCCGAAATTTCTGCCATGAAATTTAACTTAAAGGAAGAAAGATGTCTGAAAAAGAATCTTCAGCTTTTGGGGGTAGAAGAGGATTACTCCTTGACCTTGATTAACCTTGATAATAGAGGAGTCAAACTGTATCAGAAAAGACTCAAAGACAAGGTCTCCAAAATTAAAAGTAATCTGACTCCAACTGAAATCACAGAATTTCAAAAGTTAGAAGAAGCGGGAAAATTGAAAGGGATTTACCCATCTGTGACCCCTAACCTTCAAGGGCGAATCGTCGCAGAAGCCAAAAGGTTAAATCTTGACCTTCCCGTGAGGCCAAGGACGGCAATTCCTCTTAAACGATCTTATTCAACAAACACACCGCGACAACCACCCCGACCGTCGTCAGAGAAACGTCAACTTCCGCTAAGGGAGCCATTGAAAAACGGGTTGTCTGAAACTTCCAAGTATGAAAAAGAAGAAACCAAAGACTCGATTAAAGGTGCTATAGGAAAATCAAATGAAAGTTCTGTGCCCTCTAAGGTCCAAGTGAATAATTATACTAAGTCCAATCAAAATGAGACTTCGAACTGTGATAGAAAAACAAAGCTCCCTCCAAGAGGCAATTATCCTTCTCTAAGGAGTCCGCTCAAGAGACATTCTTCGGAACGGAAAACAATCAGTGCTTCTGCGCATGTTCGGAAGAGGTTTCTGGACGACCACAGATTAAGCATTGTAAAGGAGGATATTCATTTATTACCAAATGAGGAAGTGAATGGTGAGAATGTTAAACCTAACGGAATACTCCAAGAAGGAAATGAAAATATTTCTAATTCCTTACCAAAAGCAGTTGAAAAGAATGAAGAAAATGAAAGCGAGACAAAAACAATTGAACACAAACGTCCCTTCACACGTCCAGAATCTAGGATGGACGTGGTGCGTGATAATTTGATTGACAGCACTACCCCATCTATTCTAAGTCTTGACAGTGGTTCTGTCTTAGATCTGGAAATGGTAGAGCCCACAAAAGGGAAAATGAAGCTGATGGCAACAAAGACATTTACAGCAGAGGAAGTGAAGGAACTCAATAAAAGAAGATCTCAATCCGATATATCCTCCCAGAGTTTTTACGACTGTAGTTCTTCCAGAACGGCAAAACATTTAGGTATGTCTCGGTCCTCAACTCCAAACAACCAGATTCTAGAGAATAGCCAAATGACGCCACGTAAACACGTCAGGGCAACGGCATCAATCTCGCCATATTCCGAGAAAGAAAAATTTAAGAACACCACCCCCAGATCACAAACAGCTAACGTAACAAGAACCAGGACAATGCCCCTAAACTCCCCAAAACCAAACATACAAAGGTCTAAATCTTCATTGAGTGGTTGTAAGAATCCTACGAAGGCGATGTTTTCATCGCATGCCCCTAAAGATGGAACACGATCTCGTCGCCTGCCCGGGGGCGGCACAACATTCCTATCCAAGGAAATTGGTGACGACTTGGGGAATAATTTACAAGCCGAAATACGACAAGATCTGCTGGAAAAAGAACACGAGGTGCGAAACATCATGGACAAAAAAGTATCTAATTACCTTAACCGACTTGGAAAATTTTTGGACAAAAAATAATGAAGTTCTATACCTAGGAACATTGTAATGAATTTTGCTTACATATTGAAAGTGCTTTATTTACATTTTCCTGTTTTTATGAAACGGGGATACAATCGTGTGCCATCAATCATGGTGGTCTTCCTAAGGAAAGACATATCCAAATACGTGATCATGTGTTTTAATCTCTTCACCATATCCTTGTTAATGTTGAGTTTATAGTGAATATTCCTCTGTGTTTTTCTTGGATAAGGAAATTAATTTTTAAATATTGTAATATATATGATTTGAATTTGTTGTAGCATAAAGCAATGCAAAAATTAACTTTAGACAGCCAATACTAGTAGTACAGTGTATGCCAACAGTAATATATATAATTGTCAATGCTTGTGACTGTCATTCACAATCGCTTTCACAATAATTGTCCATGAAGTTAAGTTCACCGGGTGGAGTATCCTTCAAATTATCATACAGATGATTCTGCTCATCGACACACAAAAAGCAAGATGTGTTTGTGAAACACTGATGCCCCTGCATGGCAGCTTTTGGTGAGCCTTTGGAGAGCTTTTGGAGAAGTTTCTGTGAAATGCAGGTCTAACTCCAAGGTCAAAGGATAAAAAAATGTTATTATTCAAACAAAGGACTTGTGTCAATGAATACGTATATATGAAATATGAAAGACAAAGATTAAAGTTTTTTGTTTAAAAAAAATTGGATGAAACTTCAAAGTTAAAGTCAAAGAGTAAACTTTAATGTTACACCCAGGGGAAGACCTTGTTATAATAAATATACTAGTGAAATAAAGCTTGAAAAATGTTCCACCCTTCACTTAAAAAACATCATGGATTTTTTTTTTTAGAAGAGAGTGAAATATTTTTTCCGGTATTATTTTTAACGATCAAAACTTGGCTCCTATGTTGCTACTTACCCTCTCTTGGAATTGCATTCAACTAAAGATGTCGATATGAAAGCTCGGTCAACAATATCTCGCACGATATATACTCAATATACTAGTATATGTATTTTGTTATCGTGTTTTTTTATTTTGACCTGACCGTTGCAAAGGCATGGAGAACGATTCTGTATTGAATGTCAAGATTTAATATGCCAAAGGTAGGTGGAATCTCGAGAAGTGTTTTGTAAATAAAGATATTAAAATGTTCCACCATGAAGATTTTCTCAATTGATAACATTCTAAATTAATGAAAATTTGAGTGTTGGGCTAAAAAAAAGGACATTGCCACACTAATGAATAAAATTTCGATCAAAATGGGTCCATTAATTATTCGCTTATCTCAAATCCTGATTCGGAGAAAAGTCCAAGTATTAATTTGAATATGAACCAGAGTATTTTCTCCATGAATTGCCTTTAAACAAAAAATAAAAAACAAAAACCAACACACAAACAAATAAACAAACAAACAAACAAACAAAAAACCCCCAAATAATAAACATCATCTTAAACCCTTTAAAAAAACTATTACTTTACTAAGATATCATTTTCGGATTTCTGATGATGTTTATTTGAAGGTCTTCTGTTTGATAATGATTAATGTTCGTTTTAGAAAACATGTATTAACATCAATAATAAAAATACTCCAAATGTAAGATAACCATAAATTTTACATTTTTAAAACTTATTTTTTTCTTATGACATATAAAATAAGTTAGACATAAATAGGTTTATTATCCTCTTCATAACATTGTTTGGAGGTGACATATAATTTGATATAAAGAAACCTTGCTTCTCCTTTAATGCCATTTGAGTTCACATGTGACACGGACGCAGTACACATCTTCGTTCATTTTAAAAGTATATAAAGAAGCTCTATGTCAATTGAATTATTTTTTGTGCTACGAAGTATCATTGCATTGGTTATAATGAAAAACTACATTGATCTCCCGCCACTGGGTCGTGGAATGTCCCTTACATATCAAATGACGTGTATACTAAAATGGCTTTTTAGCATAACAATCAACAAAATGATTAATTTATTTTATACGTGTTTAATAAATGCATTGCGTTTTTATTTACAAATATAAACATTGGTTATTGTCATTTGTACTGCTATAAATAAATCCTATAATTTAAGGGGTGTTAAGAAACTTCGTTCCATGATGGAATATTTTCAAAAATATCAAAGTAGTGCTAAACTAAAGAGATGAATTTTTAAGTCTGAGAAAATCACAACAGTGTGCTTTAGATTTATAGCAATTCATTTCTAGCAGGAAATTATATGATTTTTCTTCCATATGAAAATATATATATAACATCCTTAAAGCACCCGAGTGATAGAAATACTGGTCATTTTGAGGGAAAATAAAGGATAATTTACTTTTATTATTTCTTCTAATCATAGCTTATCTTGCATCAGACAAGCTGATGAGCGTAGGTATAAGAACGATAGATCACTTAAACAAAAGAATAGGTCTGTCATTTTATTTTTTTTTTTACAGATTTGATAATTTTTGCATAGTGTTTGAAAGGATGTTTTGACCTGTGTGCTTAGTATATGTCACAAATATGCGTCATCCCTAATTTTTCTGAACAGACATCATCTGTTTTAATACCTTCCCTCCCCTTATTGGTTCAACAAAAGACAGTTAAAACCTTATCAGTAGTAAGAATGGATTCTGTAAACATGAAATATTACAAATTTTAAATATCTTCTCATCGTATTTCTTGTCAAAAATAAAAGAAAAATGTGGAACGAACTTTCTTATCACCCTTTATGTATTTCATGCATCCATCATCAGTTCTCCATAAATCTCTGTGTAACATTAATGTAACCTTCACCTGGGGATCCCTGAACGTTTTCTTTTCTTTGAATCCCGTTCATCCTCGTAATATCCATAATTATTTTCCCGTGTGTCCTTTTCAATTTTTCCCGTGTTTCCCTCTAAACTTCTTTCCTAAATCCCTTCACATAATGAATAACCCTGTATATTTAAGAAATATGATCTATTTAGGGTATACACTGTATACCCAATCGCAATAATCACATCTCACAATGAAAGTGTGTACACATATCACTCCTATCCTATAATGTCCTCAGTCATTTGTTTTATGTAATGAGATTCGACCTCGTGTCCTGTCGTTTGAGCATTTGGAACAGTTTTAGTTGGTCCTTGGCCAGTGTGTTAACCCCAGAGAGGTCCAGCATCTCGTCAGGGATCCGCAGGTACCGACACTTGTTCAAGTCCTTCCAGAGTTCCCAGATCTTGGCCTTATACTCCTCCTCGCTCCTGAAGGTCTTGTCCAGTGTGATTCTGTTGGGTAAAAGTCTATATTTCATCCCTTTCTTCACACTTCCGGTCGTGCTCATGCCATCTTCTTTATCATCCTCTGTTGGCGGAAGCTTAACAACTGGGGGAGGATTTGACCAGTCAGGGACGGGGTTTTCCTTAAAGTAAGTGTCTAGTCTTTTCATGAAGTCTTTCTTTCTCTCTTCCAATTCACCGAATCTCTCGTGTTCCTCCATTATCATCTCCTGTCGCCTTTCCTCCATTAGGTCATCTCCTAGGTTACTATCTATGTCATCCGTCAGACCGGATATCCGCTCTTGCGTCCTCGGTGGAGGAAGAAACTCTTTTTCTACCGCAGTATGAGAAGAATAAGGAGAGTGAGTTGGATTGGGATTAATCCGCGGAGTATGTGACTGAGGTCCAAGCACTAACTGAGAAGTGGCAGGGCGTTTTGTTTTGTGAGGTTTAGAGTTCGAACCACTCTCCACAAAGGCACTGAGTGGTCTGATCGTCGTCGTTCCATTAAAGTCTGCGGAATTCCGTCTCTTGGTCGTGTTTGGTTCGGGGGCGTCAATGAACACACCTGTTACAGAGTTACTGCGTCGGAGATTATTGTTAGCGGTCACTGGTCTGTTAATCGTTTCATTGCTGCCTTTGTGAGATGACAGTGTTATGGAGGTATTTGCCCGCGTTGGCCCTTGAATCTTTAGTCTTTTTGCGGCACCAGCGATTTTTATTGCACTTCCGAGATTTACGGTATTCAGCGGTTTAATTTTTCCCTCGGCCTCCAGTTGCTTCATCTCGTTTATTTCGTCCACTGAGAGATAGGAACGAATCCTAGACACTTTGTCCTTGAGTCGTTTATAGTTGACCTTGACGATCCTGTGGTCTAACTGCAGAAGCTTCATGGAGTAGGATCGCTCCAGATTCAGGGTCTGCATGCTTTTCTCCAGACACCGGTCCTCTTTCATGTTGTAGGTCACCGCCGCCATCTCCTTGTCTCGCCTCATCTTTCGCGTTCCTCCTGGCATTGTGAGCGCTGGAGAGATGATCAGTTAACAGTCCTGTAAAAAGGCGGGAACGAATTACATCAAAAACGCAGAAAATTTTGTCATTTTCGTGGGGGAAAAGCGTATTAAAAGACAAGCAAAGAAAGACTCAGAGAGAAATTAAATAAGTACATGAATACTAATTAGGAGAAATCCGAAAAATGAACAAAATGTATCGCTCTCTAGTGAGGTCTAAATGTAGAAGAAATGATCAATAGTGTAAGAAATTAACCCGCCAACAACTTCATTTCAAGAATCATTCCTACTTCAGTCGATAAGAAAAAGTTAATATGCTGAAGACTGAGAGCGGAATTCGATTTTTGCTTCCTTGAAATCAATCTGACATCCATTTACCTTAACAATCTATTTAAAATCAAACAATGTACTATTTTCGATAAGCTGAAAAACAAAAGTACTTGAAAAAAAAAAATGAATAAAGTTACATCAAGTCCTGAACCATCAATGTCTCTAGGTATTTGCTTTACCGTAATCTAGTAGTTAACGCGCCGGAGTATTCAAATAAAAACAAAGACCAGTGATACGCTCTTATTAGCTGAGATCCGAGTATATAATGATATCCATTTATATCTGTATATTGACTTATACTTTGCACGAATCGATCTAAAATATACAGAATTAGAAACCAAAGAATTCAAAAAACAAGGACCATGTAGAAACCATCGATAATTATTAAAGTACAAGGCACTCGGGGCCGAAATCTATATACCGGTCAGTAAAGTTTGTCATTTCACTTTCTAAAGACAATGGCCAATAAGATGGAGTGCGTCAGGGGATTGATTCTGAAGGAATTGACAAAAACCAACACTGACGAAGGCAGTGATGTACACAACTAGATAGAGATGGGTCACTGGTCCTAAGCCGACTAATCAATGAGTGCTGATTAATGTCGATTGGTATGGGGGTTTTATAATACATACGGAAAAAACATCAATGCCTTTTAGTACTAGTTACAATTTGGAAAGGATAAAATATATGTTATCAAATATTTTTAAAGGAAATTTTAGCAAAGACGTGTTTGTGTGGGTGTTTTACCATTATGATCATGTTTTTACTTTTTCCAAATTGTCCTGAAATCCAAATAAAGAGCTTTTCTTCGCAATAAGAGTCAATTTTAGTACAATGTACCATTCACTTGGTGCACAACTTCATGTATTTACCAAAACGGTTACGTACGTTTGTAATATACAATATGTACAAATAATAGTGTTTTCGATAACTCAAAATTACTAAAATTAAAAACATTTTTCAATAAAACTAATAATAAAAATGTGTTTCTTGAAAATGACCATTAAGGGGATCTTTAGAACCAACAATTGTTTCTAAAGATGCCTTAGTGGTAATTTTCAAGAAAGATAGCACACAGAGATATGAATATTTTAACCAAATTTTCCGAAATGTACTTAAAAAATCCTTACCGCCTCTGCTTTCATTTTATCCAAACATATTTGATGTACGTAAAAAAATCCTCCATTACAAATCATTTTTTAAAAATGTATTTTTCTTATTTACTGGACAAATCAATACATCAGCGAAGAACACCTTGTGCGATTCACCGCTAATCCCGGACCCAGAACAATGCTGCTATTAACTTCCCTAAAGAATTGGTCAATATTACCTAATTAAAGGACAATTTGCTTTTATATAAACGAGGTTTCCACTAAACAAATCGTTTTAATGGGAAATCAGGGTTAAAAGCCGCATAGGTCTTTTTCTTCTTGCGGGAAGCGTGAAAGGCAGTCACAAAACACCCTCACTACTTACTATATAACGTAACTAAATCGAGTTTCTGGCTGATCGAAGCTGAACACCGTATGACAAAGAAAGCGATGTTTCACGGCTTGTAATTCATCATAATGAAATTTAGATTTTAAATATTTAAAAAAATAAATCTAGACCTTGTCAATCTGTTATCGACCATCTATACAGTATGAAACATGAGCTGCTTGAGGGAGAGAGAAAAAACGGTCATCGGTGTACAATTTACAGCACGTCTTTTTAATTAGTATACTGTCTAGATTTTGATTTCATCCACCCACTTATTGATTTTTAGATAAAAAAGAAAATCAATTGTAATTTCGTGAAACTTGATACGGCATTTTCGTTTCTGCGATAAGACCAAGAAATTATCAATTTTCTGCTGAAACAAATAAATATTGCACTATTTTCTTTCTTAACATACCGCGCGCCGTACAATTAGACTAATGTCTGACTTTACGTACGGTTATTCAAATAATCTGTTTAATACATACATGTATACCTGACCTTACCCAAGGTAATGTTACGCAATTAGTTTTAGACCTGGTTATACCATACAATCTGTTATCTGTTTTTTGTGGAATTCGTTTAATATCTGACTTTACGTACGGTTATATTGTACAGTCTGTTTTATAGTGTGTGACTGTTCGTTAATATCTGACTTTATGTACGGTAATATTGTACAGTCTGTTTCATAGTTTGAGGCTGTTCGTTAATATCTGACTTTACCTACGATTATATTGTACAGTCTTTTTATAGTGTGATACTGTTCTTTAATACCCAGCTTTATTTTCGGTTATATTGTACAGTCTGTTTTATAAAGTGTGGCTTTTCGTTAATGTCTGCCTTTACGTACGGTTATACTGCACAGTCTGTTTTTATAGTTCGAGGCTTTTCGTTAATATCTGATTTTACGTACGGTTATATTGTACAGTCTGTTTTATAGTGTGAGGTTGTTCATTAATATCTGACTTTACGTACGGTTATATTGTACAGTCTGTTTCAAAGTGTGTGTATGGAACGCCATAGCTGCCTTAAGGTATGGTACATTATGTTACATGGTGTGTTCTATATAATAAAGGGTTGAATCAATATAATAAATGGTCACTACACCTTGTTAAAGGGTTAAGCGCACATAATACATGGTGTATTTAATATAATAAAGGGGTGACTTTATGTTAAATATCACCACTCCTTGTTATACGGTGAAAGATACATTGTAAATAGTGTGTATAATATATAAAGTGTGTCTGTTTACTATGTTAAATGGTCACCTCTTAGTACTGTGAAAGATTCAAAATAAATGGTGCATTTTATAATACAGAGTTGGTTTAATATATCAATGGTCGACGCTACTTGTTATAGGGTGAAGTATACAAATTAAATGGTGCATTCGATATAATAACGGGTCGGTTTAATATAACAACGGGTCGGTTTGATATGTTAAATGGTCGCCGCTACTTGTTATAGGGTGAAGTATACAAATTAAATCTGTTCGGTTAAATATAACAACGGGTCGGTTTGTGTGACTGTTCGTGAAGCATAAAAATTGAATGGTGCACGATTAATACGGGTAGAATTAATATGTTAAATGTGTTACTTATTTGTTAAAATATACATATACAAATTAAATTGTATTCAATGTTAAATAGTGTTTGTCATGTTAAATGATCTGCTACCTTTTATAGGGTTATACCAGTATACAAAAAAGGTTAAAGATGTGTCAAATTGTGTAGCTACATTGTATAATTTTACAAAGTTTCAAAAGAAAAAAAGCAAACAATAAAAATAGAGAAAAATAAACAAGCAAACAACCCCCACCCCCATCACATTTCAGAATTAGTAAAATTAATGTGAAACAATAAAATATCAAGCTATCTGTAAGCCTGTTACGACGGGGAAATATCGATTTGATTTAATATTGAAATTGAAATTTTTCGTTAATATAGTTTTTGTTGCAGCTTGATTGAACGTATTTAATGTGTTTAATTAAGAATATTTCTGTACAGTCAAATCCACCAATAGTTTGTAAATTTTAGCCTGTAAATTATTACGCCTTTGAATTTTAACCCCCCCCCCTCCGTTTAAAAACTGGGCCTATCATAGTATCGTAACAAGTTAAAAGCGTTATGTCGTTTAGGCATACCTTCTCCAAATTCCACATATAATTCAAATGACAAAAAAGTGTAAATAAAACTTTGGAGATGTATGGTCTTTCTATAAACAGTTTTATACAATTTTACAATATAAAGGAATAATATCTTAACAGAGGAGGTTAAATTACAAAATAAGTGACTGCGATGTTCCTCAAAATATTAAACATTTACGGCAAAAAGAGATGTAACACTCATGCGAGGGTTTTTGTGCCCCCCCCCCGGAAATAGTTTTTTTTTTTACATTTGAAAAACAGTTTTGTTTTTTTGCTTGTTATGTCAGGAATAATGTTTCTTTTACTGGAATGGACCCCTACCATGGGAAAAAAATCCTGGACCGGATCCGCGCCTGACACTTAGCTCTCCCTCCCTTAATACCATTATTAGCCCTTTTTATATGGTACTTGATAGTGATAAACATTTAAAAATACGAGATATTTTTATTCCATAAGCCAGTTCTACAAAGGATAAGTACATCCAATCTTCTTTGTAAAATTTCATCCGGATTACTCATTCTTAATTTCCTTCTTCCTTTTTTTTAATCCTTTTTTTTTTTTTTTTTTTTTACATTTTTACAAAAAAAAAATGAATTAGTAAAACAAGAAGTAACAACAAAGATAATAAATTAATAAAATATTAGAATCAAATTGGAAAAAAACAATTACGGATTTATATAAGAATACTAAAGGAGAACTGTGTCATTGATACTCTTAACACCAGTTAATTAATTTATCAGCTAATATTTAATGTGCGTTTTTTGAAACCATGTTAAATTAGCTGAACAATGATAATTGTACTCAAGATGCATTTTTAATGTGTTGTAAATATTTATTATAATGTGCCTTTTATCCTATTACAAGTAGCAATAACCATTTAACATGGTAAACCAACCATTTACTTTGTAGGACACATACTTATCTGCCATTGACTCTAAAAACAAGTTTACCATTTAACATATTACACTCGTTGTTATATTAAACCGACCCGTTATGTTATATCAAACCGACCCGTTGTTATATTAAACCGACCCGTTGTTATATCAAACCGACCCGTTGTTATATTAAACCGACTCGTTATTATATCAAA